AATGAGATGGACTCGGCGAGTAGGCGCTGAGTGGAGAAAACCCTAATTCTCGGGGTTGAGCCCTATATAAAGAGCATTATGTTTCCTCCCCAGCCTCTTTATCACCCTTTGAGTCCCTGAAACCCTAAAATCGTGGAGAAGCACCATTGTTGAGTGGATTGGGGCTTGGAGAAGTATTTGTTGAAGAAAGTTTGGAAGTTTGAAGGTGTGGAGCAAGGGGCTTTGCTTGGATTCGAGTTCCTTGCAGATTGGGGCGTTCTTTTGAGGTAATATCTCGTTCTTAGGCTGTTGTTATCTTGTTTATTCATTTTGGGGTTTGAGGGAAGCTTATCTTGGGTGATATTGGAATCTAGAGGTTAGATCTGAGGTTGCTACCTCAGATCTGGAATGGAGGAGAGTTGGAATGCAGGAAAGTCCCTGTGTTGAGTGTTGGATGAAGCTATCTTGTCCCAAACCTTAGCCCTAATGTGCAAAATGCATAGATCTCTTTGGATTCACGTAAAGATTGCCACTTTACGTGATAGATGAGTTGTAGAAGGCTAGATCTATGTTTTGGATCAATTGCATGGTCTGGAACGCTTCTGTTTGGATGCAGACCGGTGGTACTCGGCGAGTCACATGGGTGGACTCGACGAGTTGCTTGAAGATGAGCTGGAACTCGACGAGTTGGATGAACAACTCAGCGAGTAGGTTGAAGATAGCCTTAGACTCGGCGAGTCTGTTCTTGGACTCAGCGAGTCTTGTCGAAGAGTCCAAATATTTTCTAGTTGAGTCGAGAACCGGCGAGTCAAGGGATGACTTGGTGAGTTGTGTGCGAGTGGACTCAGAGTTGTTGGACTCGGCGAGTCTCGGGGCGACTCGGCGAGTTAGGTCGCAGATTGAGTGAAGTTTTGAATATGGGAACTCGGCGAGTCATAGGGTTGACTCGGCGAGTAGGGTCAGTCAGGGGTTGACTTTGATCTAGTAATTGACCAAGGGTTAACCAGTGGTTTCCAGGGGTATTTTGGTAATTGTTGATTATGGTTTTAAGTTCAGTGCATTGGTGGCTGTCCAGTGGTGGAGATCGTATCAGGGATCGGAGCAGCTTGGGTTATCTGTTCAGTCGGCAGTTTCGAGGTGAGTTATCCTCGCTATATCTATAGGGTTTAAGGCACCAAGGCCGACCCTTTTATCAGATGGAAATCTGGGTAATTGTCTGTTGTATGATATTGCGGGATATGGGCCGGAAGGCGTGACGTTATAGGCCGGAAGGCATTACATGTTGTGGGCCGGAAGGCAATGCGATGTGGACCGGAAGGTCATGGCCTGGAAAGGCGTATGTGCATAGTTATTATGTTGGCTGAGTCGTAGGGTGATGTTATGCTAGTGATCGGCTAGGCTGGTATCTTGGTTAGGGTAATGATATGTTATGTGATCTGTTGATCGAATTGCTAACTGTGAACTGTTATATGATTACATGTTATGTGTATAGTTGTCTGGTCTGGAGTGTAACCCGGTATGCATGGTTGTTCTATGTTTTGTTATGATATATATATATATATATATATATATATATATATATATATATATATATATATATGCTTTTACGTTGCGGGCCGGAAGGCGATATGTTATGGGCCGGAAGGCAATATGTTATGGGCCGGAAGGCAATGTGTTATGGGCCGGAAGGTGATATGTTTTGGACCAGAAGGTTGTGGCCTGGAAGGGCGTATATGTGGTTGGTATTTTGGGGGCATCTCACTAAGCTTTCGGGCTTACAGTTGTGGTTTTTATGTTTTCAGGTTCTCAGGAGTTTGTGGCAAGGCAAGGGTGTGATCGTACCGTTCCTCGCGTTGGTGTTTTATGAAATGGACCTGGGAAAATACTCTGTTAAATAATGTATTGAAAACATTTTTGTAACAACGTTATTAAAATGGGTTGTTTTGAAAAGTTTTAATTGTTTCGAAATTTTTGTCGTTACACGAAAACGTCGGATCAAGCATTACATGATTTGGGTGTAGGTATGTGTTTGGAAGTACCGTTTTACCACCCTCAAACGACAATGCAGTGTGCTTGTACATGAAAAGTCAGAGTGGTGAACACAGAGTACCAGGAACAGTGTTATAGGTGGGTGTCGCCCCTCATTTGGTGCACTGGGTCACCAGGTTACGTTAATTAGTAGCAAACGGGGTCTTTCTTTAGGGATGTTAGCGATGTTTAGACCCATATCGCGAGGGACATTAAAAGTAATTATAGCGATGAACATAATAAAATAATTACTGGGACGAAAGAATGTCTAGAATAATATATGCTAAAAATATATTAAAAATAATTAGCGATGAATATTGATTGTAATTGCTTAACTAAACATCTTGTATGAAGTATTTTTATTTTATTATCCATGTGTTTGGGATTGCATTGTGTTGATGCTGACACTTGTTTTTTGTTTTTTGTTGTTGTGGCTTGCATTGGTACATGTAGCTTGTTTGGGATTGACTCATTATGTTGATCATGACTCATTGTTGTTGTTTAGGATTGACTCGTCGTGATGTTTTATTTATACATGGTTTTGGGTACTTGTTTTGGTACCGGTTTGCAACTTTAAACTTTTGATGGATTGTTTTGATGAAAATAAATAACGATGGTGTTTTGATGAAAATAATTAAGACTTTTGTTGCTTAAATCTGTTAAATAATGTTTTAAAAAAATGAAGTGAAAAATCACGGTGTTACAACAGTCTAACCTTCGGTGTTCTCAAAAGCTTCAATCTTAAATGTTAGCAAAGAATTCTCTAGTTTAGAGCTTCGTTGTTGTCCTTCCAAAGTTAGAGAACAAGTGTCCTCATTTACCCGTTTGCCATGGACCCATGAGTCCTATACATAAATTTTAGGTCAAAAAATTTATAAATACATCTCATTGATTGTAACTCTATGATTGTAACCCTAATAAGATTTAGGAGTTGTAAATGCATGTGGATGTAACTTGATTACATGAAAAAAAATGAACTATATCAAATCTCTTTGTCTTCATTGTTATTATTGTTTTTGAGTTGATTAAAGTTGTTCTTGATCCCTATCACATGGTTTGTAAACAACGTTGTATTTGCTTTTTTGAAGACTACAATGACACACAACTAAGACCCGACTTATTGACTCTTTTTTGTCAAATGGTACTAGTCGAGGAATCGGATTACACATTAACATGGCATCCGTGCAACCCTTGCACGGCCTCCAAACTGGACTCCATTTTCCATCTCATCCCTGAATACCCGTGTTTTCATTAGTAAAACTTAAATATTTATTCATTCGCCATTGGAATCAGAATCTTCTTTTATTAAGGCGAAACCGGATATGTCGATGTTGGTTTCAATAAAATTAATTTAATCCCTTACAATATTGTCATCCCATATAATCTTGTCATCCCAATAAATTTTTGTCGTGATTGGAAATGATAAAGACCGCAATAGAAACAAGTGTTTGAGCAACTTGACCCATCCTACTTTAGGGTTATGGAAGCAAGTATTAAGAAATCAGATGTACTTTGAGTAATTTCCAAGTATGATTGTGTAGATAACAAACTTTGACCACTATAAAGTCTAATCAAGTAAAAGATAACTATACGTATCGTATTTCATAATATTTTAAATCTTAAAGGTCGCCAGATTAGGTCAAGACGCACACATAATACACAAAGTGTTTGCAATTAATCTTGTCTTTAATCCTTAGTGTTAGCATTTTTTCAAGATGTTCACATCAACTTTTTAAGGAAATTAAAAGAATTATCTAGTTCGACATTATCTATAGATGACTCATATACGGTCAAATATGATTTTTACAATAATGACAATTGAAAAATATCCACTTTGCGTGGCAACTTTTATTTCTTAGTTTATTCATGTATTCACTTTATGCATATGCCCATGCCCTAAAGCTTAGACTGCAAGAATATGCCATGCTCCTTCGGTTCGAATGAGGTTTTATAAAATCCTGTGAATTGTAATTAATTCTCTATATTCAAACGAGGAAAAACTGTTCGGCGTATTAAAAAAATTGTTATAATATTCCACTTAAAAAGTTAATTAATAGCAGCTAGCGAAATCAACAGAATCTGTTCCTCTTGATGTGTTGCCTTTTTAACCAACTTTATCATCCTTAGAAGCGATTAGTTATAACTCTTGCTTTACATCCTTTCTCTCCTTGACTGTTGACTTTTCCATAAGTCCAAACTTTTAGCCCCAAGCATAAATAAACAATCGTTTAATTACTTGTCCAAAGAAATAGTCTTAATAATGAAAATCGATATTTTTAATTTGTTTAGACAAAATTTCAAAATTAGTCCTTATGATTTTCAGAAGGTGTCATTTTAAGAACAATTATAAAAATATTACACCACGCTTCTTATAGTTTCAAAATCTTACATTGTTAGCCGAAACCATATAAACACATACTAAAAATCATAAGGCCTCCCACAACTCTCCCCTTCCCCCCCCCCCACCCCATCTCTACCTCTCTCTTATCACCCTCCACATCCACCACCACCTCTATTGTCATAAAAAATTAAAATTATAGACAAAAACATAGCAAACATCATGTGGCAATAAACTAAAAACGATAGCTTGCAAAGAATAATAAAACACAATTGGAAATATGAAAATCTATCGATTTTATTTCGAACACAAGAAAGGGGGAAATAACTATAAAACAAGAAGGAAGCTAGAAAATACTTGAGATCAATTATCTTGTTATCTTTTCAATTTGAATGGAAAAA